TTGAGGTGGGGGAGCAGATTTGCTTATGAATCCCATGTGGTAGTAGGAGGAGGAGAGGGGCTCCTGCTGACCCCAAGGACTCTGGTCTGAGCACAGGAGAAGAATTAAGATCAGGCAGAGGGTTGCTCACTGTCATGGCAGTAAAAGGACTGCTAGAGCGTCTGCTGCGTCTGGTTCTCACCTTCTGCAGCTCAACTCAGCACACCTCCAGCTCCTGCAGGGAGCTGCCATGAGTGAGGACAATAATGACAGGGGGACAGAGCCCATTGATGCAGGGCATCTCTCTTCTCTGTTGTAAGGCCGATGCTTTTTTATCCTCATTTCCTGGAAGTTCATTCAACAAACTGTCCAGAAACTGCCCTTTAGGATACTGGGGGAAACCTGTTCAGGGGGATATGTCTCACCAGAGACGTTCTTCTATAAAACCACTGCAGGACACAGGCATGGGGAAGCCCCGGGCCTACCAACCACCCGAGAGACGAAGGCAGCAAAACCTTCTCCTCCTGCAACATCTCTCTGGCACCCTCTACTGACAAGGTTTAACAGTGCCCCCTGGTAAAGGAAAAATGTTTGAGGGTCCGGATCCGATTCCGCAGAGACCAGGGATGAATTTGGAGTTGAGAGGCAATTAGTGAATAACTGGTACAAGTGTTTAGATGTTACTTAAAAGTTCCATTTCTTTTTTCAACATTTTCCCACGGTTCATACTGACTCCTGAAATAATAATTCTCATTTTAGAGATTAGTTTGATTAAACAATTCCAACAAATGTTAAATGGGCACATATTTAATGTACAAAACACTGCAAAACTCTATGGTGAAAGAAAGTGAGCCAAGATGCTGGATACCGTTCAAGCTTTATTAAAGGAAAAGAATCTGCCAGGCTGTGCTCAAAGTGGGGAACAGCCTGGGGCTGCCCTGAAAATGGGGGACAGCAGCAGGTGTGGGGGTGGTAGAGCTTATATAGGCCAAGGGCTGGCTGATACCATCAAGGAGGGGCATTATGCTAATGTGGAAACTCTGCAACCAGGGTGGAGAACTGCACGCTTATAGAAGCAAAAGTATTTCTCTTTAAGTCACAAGGCTTCTCGTAAAGGGAAGTGGGGAGCGGCTTGGTGCTGGAGTGGAAGACAAGGCCGGCGGCTATTTTGTGCTCATTGTGTGCACAATGGCACCGGTCATGTCCAAAATCCATCATTCCTGCCTTTTAAGTATAAGATGAAGGGAAAGGGGGCAAAGGTCTCATTTTTCTGAAGCTACGTCCTGCTGGAGATGGGCGAAGATATGAAAAAAAATAAAAGATTTATGTTGGCGGGTAAAACAATTAAGTGGCAGAGTACTGGTTTCGTGTGGGGAGGCCATATTCCTCTGGGGAAGCGTCGCTGATTCTTTTTTTTTTTTTTTTTTTTTTTT